AATTTTTAGCCTTATCAACTGATTAGTGTGCATTGAGACTACATTCTCATCTTACAATGCAAGCTCTGATAGATTGTGCAATCACATTGCCATCTCATTCTATCTGGTACCCATCAGATGCTGTCGGAACAGGGGAATCTTTATGCCTCGGAACAACACGTTTTTTATGTGTTTTCCTGGGCTTAAGGCCCATACATTCTCGGGAATCAAGCTTGTCAAACACAGGTACCATCAATGTACTCTCTGACACCTCATTTGCTGATCATACTTGATTTGTAATGTGTGCAACCATGACCTACATAGGTCCGTAGTGCAACATCCAACATTCTATGATAAGGCCTTATATCTTTTATTACATGGTTTACTGATATTTTGGACTAAAATTCAATGTACATGTAGGTGGTTTAATTTTTTTTTAAATGGTTTTTCAATTTCCAGATTAGTACTGCTATTAATGAATGAAAAACAGACTCGTAGGTCCCACTGCCATGAAGTACGATTGTGAAATGAAATGAAAGCTGTGTTTTTTGGTTAAAATGAAAATATTTAAGGCATTATTAACCATTTCTCACAAATCTCATGTTTATTTTGTTTGACATCATTTTTCATTTTTACTTGTAAATCTGAGCCGCCACAAACATATTTTGTAAAAAAGTCATTTTATGTTGTCGGTTGAACTCATAATTTATTCACAAAAATATATAAGGCCTAAGTACTTTTGAAATACTAGGATGGACTGCATGGTCATTAGATAACCATGATAATCAGTTAGAATTGTTTGTGAGTTTATACTGTTACTGCGAAATGTCAACACATTAAACCACATGTAAGTAAATCATATATACATTTAAAGATGAAATGGTTTAATGTATGAAGAGTGTATGTATAATGTGGGTGAGTGAGTGAGTGAGTGAGTGAGTGAGTGAGTGAGTGAGTGAGTGAGTGAGTGAGTGAGTGAGTGAGTGAGTGAGTTGGGTTTATCGCCGCTTTTAACATTATTCCAGTTATATGACGGCGTGTCAGCTTAATGTGGGAGGAAAGCCCCAAGTGATGCAGGTCTAAGACGTTTACCACTTCGGTGAAACCCACGAGCACGGGTATGGTGCTGACAAACCTAGAAACATTTGGGCGAACCGGGATTCGAACCCACAATCATAGGTTTCTGGAGTGCCCAAGGGACGCAACCCTGCACAGCGAATCGCGGCGCCTTAGACGACTGGACCATCCGTGCCCCCGAGTGAGTGAGTGAGTGAGCGGGGGACACCAGAACAACCAGACATTAAGTGCCAGCATGGTTAACACTTAACCACAACTTACATCACAGCATCTTATCAAAATTATAAGTGGCCATTCTAACTAGTCTGAATAAGGCCATTTAAACAACAATGCACAACTCATGCTTTACAATCTAGATCAATATAGCAATAATGGCTATGGTGAAGTGACACTTACGAACCAAAATTAGGAATAGTCTAAAATTATTATATTTGTCCAAATGCTCAATCATTGATGGATTAGAAAAGAAATGAAACCCCATAATCTTTTTCAAAATGAAAGAAACTTGTGACTTGTGAATAATAATTGATTAAATGCATTGTATGTATATATATATATTATTGCAGACTACAAACACCTCATAAGGCACACAAAGTCATCTCAGATGTAGGTACATGTACACATTGTGGTAAAAATATTAAACACTCTCCAGTTTAAACAGTACTTTTGTAGCATTTATATTTTTCAACTAAACTGACTGACCCAAACAACTTTATACCAGGTAAATACAAAATATTGAATTGCACAATTCATTTCTACTTTGACTGACTAGATAACCTGAAAGACGTTAACCATAAATAAAAGTGTAGCCTAAGAACCTGTACATAATTCTTGTAAAATCATCCAGCTGCTCTAAGTGTGTATATTGTCCTGGTACTAATTATACATCCTGAACAACCAAACACTGCAACATTCCAAAAGTATAAGGCAAGCTTGTGGTAGGCATCACATGTGGAACTGTTGAGCATAACCTCTAATTAAAAACTAAGCCATTTGTTGCATTTTTGTGCATTCTTCGCATAAACATTGAATTACCTTCAGTACTGTCAGATCCAATAACTTGTTGTATTATTTATGTCGGATCCCATAACTGTTGAATTACTAATGTTAGCTCCCGTAACTGTTGAATTACTTATGTTAGCTCCCATAACTGTTGAATTACTTATGTCAGGAATGACATGAAAAGTGTGTTTTCATGACAATAATACACAAAGGTGCTTTCAAGGTCATTAGGCTGCAAAATACATGTCTCAGTGTGGAGCCATGGTCTCAATGTGGAGCTATGTGTCTCAATGTGGAGCTATGTGTCTCAGTGTGGAGCCATGGTCTCAATGTGGAGCTATGTGTCTCAATGTGGAGCTGTATGTCTCAATATTCACCATACTCTATGAATCAGATAATGGCACTGTGAGCCTTGAGGAAGCAATTTGTCAGAGTAATTATCCTTTCTAACTATCGATAAACAAAAGCAGGAATGGAGATTACACATGCAGTAATAAATATCTCAGCATTCCATTTCATGTACTGTGCAGAAATGACAGCATGCACAAAGGTGCACAAAGGTGTAAAATAATAAATGCCTTCATACATATTAGTCATTCAATGCCTCAATTCTCCCATGTCAAAAAATATATGGAGAAATGTCATAACAAACACCAATGCCATCTTGGGCTCTAAATGTAGGATCAAAACCGTGTCCGAGGTTTTGTTTGGGAAGTATGCCCGCTGGGTAGGGAAAGGGGGGAGGGCCGATCAAATAATATGATTTAGAAATAATTTTACTAATTGGTATTAACATGACTTCATTGATATTTACTGTTGAGAGTTTAACTGCAATATGGACGCAGACGACAACGATTTATTTCTGACGCAGTCAGTTTTTAAAGAATCGGCATCCTGTGCTGAAGAAGACAAAGAAAGTGATGACTTTAACTTCCGTTTTGGAGATCCACTCTCCGAGCGTGAAATAGCCAAGAAAATTGAGATCTGTGTCCCTAGAACAACACGTTATAAAAATGACTGGGCATTCTCAACATTTAAACGGTGGCAAGAAGAACGCAGGTCACGGTCAATTGCGGACAATTTGGAATTACCGCAAAAGTGTTTGACAGAGGATATAGTCGAAATGAGCCTATCTACTATGAACACCGCTTTCAAATATTTCCTTTTTGAGGCGAGGAAAGTGGACGGCACCCAGTACACAGCGGATACTGTACATGGACTGTTTACCGCTCTTCAGAGTGGCTTGAGGCTTAAAGGGCGAAAGGACATTAATTTGTTCGAGGATCAACAGTTTGAAGAGAGCAGAACATGTCTGGACGCTTTAATGAAGGAACTTTCTAAAAAAGGACTGGGCAGCTCTGCCAGGAAGAAAACTGAAACTATATCAATGGACGACGAAGAGTGCTTGTGGAGTAGCGGTTCATTAGGCGAAGACGACCCTCAGCAACTTGTGGATACGGTTCTTTATCTTACCTTTAAGTAAAGTAAATCACACAGTTGTTTTTCTTTATATCTTTGAAAATCACTTTTACAAATAGTATAAACTAAATCATTGGAATTTGTTCATTCACATATAAAATTGAAATATTAATGTGTGAACCTTTTTGAACACAAAAGTTTAACAGTTTGTTGAAATAATTAACTGAATTTTCATTATTGTTCATATTTGCCGTTGTCTAAAATACAGATTTTCAAAACATTTACACAGGTTTGTATAGGAGGAAGAGAGCATAGAGCGCTGAGGCTGTTCTCGAACCCCCAAATAACAGGTCCCCACACTGACGATAATGGCAGAAAGTATCTACTCTACACGGAAGACGCGTCAAAGACTAATCATGGCGGCCTGAAGCACAGGAAGCTGGTATCGAAACAAGTTTGAGCGTATGAGAACACGGACAACCCTAAAAGATGTTTTGTGCGTCTCTTTGAAAAGTACAGGCCTTTGAGGTAAGTGTTAAAAACACCAATGCATATTGCATGTATTACCTAGACGTTTATTTAGGGGTTTGGGAATTATGTATTTGATAATCGCTTTATATAAATCTTGACTACATTCTAAATTTTGAATGAAATTTTCAGAAGGTGGAGTATCCGCCGACTCAATGCATTGTTTCACAAAAACAAATATTACAAGTGACCCTTTCTATCTTATTTCCCCCAGCAAACCTGGTCAACATACTGAATACTTCTACTTCACTCCAAGGACTAGAACGTCGAAAGACTGGTATACTGCAAATGCCATCGGCCACAACACCTTACAAGTTACCGTCAAAAGACTGTGCAAGACGTCCGGTATTGAGGGCATGAAGACAAACCATTCCTTGAGAGCCACGGCAGCCACTCGATTGTATCAAGGTGACGTTGATGAACAAATGATTTGCGAAATTACCGGTAGGTTGATAAACATTTTAGTCTTGCAGTAATAGGAAATTGTTTTTCAGCAAAAGTCATAACATATCAAAGAAATATTTTTTCCAAAACCAGTAAGATGGTCTTTCATGATATATATGGTAATATTGGTGTTTTTGGAATCTGTAATAGTTTTTAAGTGTATTTGTATGCTGTATGTGTAATACTTTCACTCATCTAAACAATCTGTTTCAGGACATCGGAGCGACGCCGTTCGAAATTACAAGAGAACTTCTGACAACCAAAAGGCAACGGTCTCTGACATACTTAGTATGTCCAAAAAAATGAACTCGCCATCACGTGAAGAAGCTGATCCGAAAAGAGCTGATGACCAAAGACCTGAAGACAAACTAAATCGAACTGTGACGCTCAATTTCAATTTCATCTAATATCAATAAATAGTTGAGCCATGTTCTGTTGTTGTTTTTTCATGCAGAAAGGTAATTCAATACAGAGGGTATTCTTCGGGACAAAAACCAGGCTTTCAGTAGAAAATCTCCCGGGATTTCTTGCAGAAAGCCCGGGGCTTACCCTGGGAATGCCCGGGGCTTACTCTGGGAATGCCCGGTAAACTACCAGTAGAGGTTTAGTCGGTAAAAGAAGACCCTGGCGAGACAATAGAGTGACATCACTAGAGGTTTATAAGGCACTGTCAATACCGGGGGTATTTTATGGCATATTTCATAAAATATGTGAGCCTTCTCAAAATATTTCTCTAACACTTAAAAACAAACCATTTTCATAAAAATATCAAAACAAAGTATATGAACTATGCACATATATCTCATATTTGACAAAACATATGTCATCATTTTTTAGGTCTGAAATAAACATCCTTGGTGAGCATGGACATAACACACGGCACTTGTTTCTTCCCATCTTTCCATTTGGCCTTGTCATTTTGAGACTGGTAACCAATAGCAACCCTGCCACTGACAGCTGTCAGTAACCTTGTTAGAGACGTGGTTGAGAGATCAGCTGATTGTATTGCCTTCTTTAGACTCTGTATAAACCAGGTACCTGTTGTACGTCTCCATGCGAAGTATCCTGAAACACCATATGAGAGAACCATTCAGAGATGTTGCTGGCAGCTGGATTCAGTGAGAAATGCTACACTTTTCTTGTAGAACCCATTTTGATAATACATAAACTGTTCACACTAATCATAATTATTATCATTAGGAATGATACACATATTTCCATTTTGATACTATAAGACCTTTAAGACACTAAAATCCCAATGATTTGATGCAAATATCATCACCAACATCATCATGTCATAAGACCAAACATAGATGCCAAGGTTCAGTTTCTGCAACACTATCTTACCACCCTACAATTGATAAGTGTGTGAGTATGGTTTTATGCCGCTTTTAGCAATATTCCAGCAATATCACAGCAGGGGACACCAGAAATGGGCTTCACACATTGTAACCATTTGGGGAATCGAACCCACGCCTTCGGTGTGACAAGTGAACGCTTTTACTATAAGGCTACCCCACCGCCCCACAATTAATAATAGGAAAATATGTTTGTTTGTATTCCCAACACAACCCTGTACATACACTTACCCGGTGGAGATGAGTACATGACTAAGAAGTCCTTGAACAAAGGTGCTGGCTTAACAACAATGTTTGAACTCCCTTCACCAGAATCTGTGTCATCATGGCTGCCGGCCTCATCAAGGAGGATGTCATCAGGTGCCATGTCAACAGACATCTCATCCAGCACGTCATCAGCCATGTCGCCAGCTTCTGTCACCTTGTGCGGTGACTTCTTACATGGAGCACCCTCTACAGAGGAGTCACCACTTTTATGTGGGCGATGCCGTTTTTTGGATTGTTTCACAGGTTTCCAGACTGTTATGTCCACCCCTTTGTCCAGATCACTGCCTCGACATGCCTGCAACAGTATTCAACAAGCTCTATTATTTGTCATCTTCCCTAGGCAAGGGTGTTAACTGATTTTAAAAGTCCAGTTTCCACCCTTGCCGAACTTGGCAGGAATTATGGAGTTATGTTTTGGCTGTACTAACGAGTATATGCATAGTCCAATCTAAATCCCATAGTGAAATCCACATCCGGATCATATACAACATGGCAATTGCTGTGCGAATACATTCGACAGCAGGATTTGCAGATGTGTAACGTCAACTGGGCGTTGACAGATATTTCACAAATGTTTTCATGTCTTTAGTTGAGGTGCTCAAGTGATGTGATGCACTTTGCAAGGTAAAACCTGTTTTATTACAATACAGATCTTTATTATCAATGAGATTGTCTTGACTGGGCGCCACCATTTTGTTTGAAGCAAATGCAAGTGATGTGAGAGGTGAAATCTGATTGGTCAGTAGTGGGGGCATAGAAGGGACATAACTCGTAATAACCACTGATGGTGCTACGATCAAGCCAAGAAATTCCAGCCTAGTTCGGCAATGATGGAAACTGGACTTTTAAAGTCAGGTAACTCCCTTGCCTCGAGAAGATGATTATTTCTTTGCAATCTCCATTATTACATTTCCAAAGACCTATTATGACAAAGGGTCTTACCATTGATTGAACTAACAATGCATCATAATTAAAAATGGCCTGATTGCAATACATCAATGTCAACTAAAAACACCAATAGTTAACAGCCTGCATTAAAAAATATCATGGTTTGTCTTTCTGTCTCCCACCTGAATAAAAAAGAGTCGTGGTTTGCCTTCAAGCTCTGGGCAGTAGCGATCCCTGAATAGGTCTATCAGCACTTCCGTTGGAACCAACACTCCATCAACTCCAAAAACAACGTCTTGACACTGCATCACATCATAAGGAGGCTTTTTTGGTTTCACCTGTATGGAATCTCCATGTGACAAGATGGCACAGGTGAAACAGTCAGCTTTGGTGTGGTCGTACTTTAGGTTGGCAGCAACTGAAACCATCACTTTTTACATAAAAAGAGGCTGAAATATCAAAATTGTCAAAGATGGATAACAATTGATGATTTATAACACTATGCATTCATTCTTGACTATTGAGAAGACTGTCATTTATGAAACCATTCATCAAATCAATGAAAAAGGTTTTTGGTTTGAGATCTAAATAAAGTCAGGAAATCAAAATTTGACATGTAAAGATCACACAGATGATTGATCAGGTATGGATCATAAAATCTAATATGATTCCAACAGACGTATCAGTATTACTCAAGTGCTTATAAGAAATGGAAATGGAATACTAACATTACACATGATCCGGACTCAACAATATCACTTCTTTTTTTTGTAACACTGCACTCTGCAATATTCCAGCTATATGACGGCTGTCTGTAAATAACTGAGTATGGACCAGACAAACCAGTGATTGTCTTCATGAGCATCAATCTATGCAAACAGGATGCTATGACACACATTTACCAAGTGACAGCCTGACCACACAATCCAATTAGTTGCCAAGCATGGGTTGCTGAAGACCATTTGTAACCAAGAACTCACAGAAGCCCCAAAAGCTTAGATATTTTCCTGGGAGCCAATTGGCCTCTGGCACAATTTTTCTAGGTGCTATTTCAAACATTAAACAATAAAATTTAAGAAGACACATTGATTTAGAAATTGTTCTAATGTGTCTGAACAACAAACTTTGAAAACTTGCTGCAATAAATTCGCTCAGCCAATTACCGGAAACAATACTGTTGCTACTTTTTCGCTTCATTCCAATGTTTGTTTTACATACTCGCTTGGGTTTCTGTTTTATTCATTACAACCAGACACATCCATAGCAGATGAAGTAATCTAAGTCGCCTCGCATCCCAAAGCCAAATTCTCTGATTCCACCATGCCCAGCCACATCTGCATCTAATAAAACACCTTTTAGGAGTGCTGGCAGTAATAGCTATAGTTATGGTATTCATGTCATCATCCTGTGATGGACAGTTTGGCTTGGTGATGGCTCTTGAAAACATGTCAAATAGTATTCTATGATTTGAACACGCCACCATTGTGAAAGTAAACTGAGAAATGTGCACATGATCAGAAATACATAAACTTGTAGCATTACAGACGATAGCATCAGAAACAGGATGGGCTTCAGTATCACTGTCAGGAGTTACACTACACCCTAAACAGGGAAGTCATGATATCAATACAGATACAGATGTTCTACTCCAGTTACTTTCAATATGTCAAATATTTTAGTCGCCAAGCTAATTTTATTAATGGAAGCCAACTGGCAACCAAGCAATAAATACAGGTCGCAAATTGGAAATTTAGGTCATTAATGAGACCAATTTGGTCGCGACTTGAAGGGCTGTCACAGGGGTATTTCTTGGTATGTAAAAGCAATGGACGTGACCTGTCAGAATGAAACATGATTACATTGCCACAGCATGATGTACCAAGTCAGGCATGGCAGTTAAACACCTCAAAATAAAAGCAAATATAAAACATCAATGCCAGAGAATAAGCAGTCTTGATTATCTGCCGAAACAGATTCCATTGGGCGCAAATGGCAAAATAGCTGTGAAAATTACATGAATGGATCATTGAAAATCAATGTTGATGCCAGGTCTTACTGAAAAGGGTAAGCATGTCCTGGCCTACCGAAGTACCCGTCACTCACACAATTTGCATAAAATTGTAAGTGTTTGTTTTTTTGCCTGACGCTGCACAGCAGCGCTCCTGCCATGCGTCGGTGGTCTGTAAACAAACAAGACAACAAACTGGACCAGAACATCCAGTGACACGGCAGTGCATTTACTGTATTTTATCAACATTATCAAATTCCCACATATCTGAGATATCCCGTCTCCCACATACAAAACTGGGGACAAACACATTATTTCTTGATTCTTACTTTTCTTAAGCTTCAAAACCATTTGTTCTGCAGTCAGATCAGTGTAGGATTTCACTTTAAAACCCATTTGTTTGAAGACCATTTTCAGATCCATAGCATCACAGGATGACCCTGGTCGTTTGTTCATCCCAGAGTTGGAATGGAATTTCTCATTGTTGATGATCACTGCTAGACCTCGTTGTGGGTAGGTGAAGTCATACACATCCTCGTCGTGTGATGGTCTTCTGGACTTGGAAGAACTCTGTCTCCTTTCATGCTGAGGTTGCCTGTTCCTGAAGCGGAGAGCATCAGGGTTACATAGTATCTCCATAATGATGATCTTGTATTTGTGAATAGACAAGTACACTGTTCAACCAAATCCATTTTATCATGTCAACACATATCAGTCATGAGTTGTTGTATGTTGTTTTACACAGACAAATTTAAAACTATTAGACATGTTAGGGGGTCTCCACATTTACAGGCAAGCTAAGGACCTCTTTGATTTCAAACACTGAACAAAACATTTTGTAGGTGTTAATTTTCATATACATGTTACACTATCAGAAGAAATATGGACACTAAGCAGAGTTTGACACCACAATCTAAAGTACCTATGGGTTCTGGAGCATATCAGATGTCATCCTTATCAAAAGACTTGGCTTCATTTCTGTATCAGTTTAGCACCCCACTTCGGAAATATTGAGCGTAACAAACGTAAACAAATGCATTGATATCATATTGGAAGTAAAAGGTCTGATTTCAATGGGTATGTTAATGACAGAGCAGCCTGGCACTTAATGATGTTTTCGTTTTGTTTGTTTGTTCTTTAAGGCCACACTCCAATATGCCAGCTATATGATGGCGGTCTGTAAATAATCGAGTCTGGACCAAACAATCCAGTGACTGACATAATGAGCATCGATCCACGCAATTGGGATACAATGACATGCATCAACCAAGTCAGCGAGCCTGACCACCCGATCCCGTTAGTCGCCACTCATGACAAGCATAGTCACCTTTTACGGCAAGCATGGGTTGCTGAAGACCTATTCTACCCCGGATCTTCACGGGTTGATGTATTCCTAATTATATCAGGATCATACAAACAACAGAATAAACAATCATGGAGACACAGTCAGAGCCTGGGTACACACTCCACAATCTTCCAGCTGTATCGCAGGAAATAACTGTGTATGGATCAGACAAACCAAGACAAATTAATCAAGGAGGTCACCAAGTTCTACCACCAGATCGATTTAGTCATCTTTCAGTTGATTACAATATATAGAACTGGTCACTCATAAACTAATTTACCCCCTGAAATCTTTTGTCATGGGAATATTAGTCATGAGATCAGAAGAATATCTTTGATGATAATAGTCCAAGCATCTACTCTGTCTCTTTGGAGGTTTAGATCAAATATCATGAATATTCATTTCAACTAAATAGTATCTGAGTAAAGAATCACTTTCAACATTCTGTGCATTTCATTACAGGAGTAAAAGCAACTGATTGTGAATGATTTGAGATTGCTCCCACTAATTAGTAATACAGTAAACCTCGGTTATAACTCAAAAGGACCACTAATTTTAGCTCGTAATAACCGTAGTTTGTTATAAGTATTTCGACTGAATTTCCTCTCTAGTTGTCACATTTAAAGACAGAATTATCCACTTCAAGGGCTCTAGTCTAATCACTGTTACTATTGTTAAATGAGGGTGTAAATTGGGGTCAAGGTGTCAGTACTGAATCAAGTTAATGACTTGCCTTCAATTATTTGTTGCCGTTTTGAACACATCCGCATGGCCTTGGATGTTTTGATGAGCTGATTAGTGATACTTGAGCAGCTCAGAGATTAACACTTCGTTATAAACATAAGTGAGGTGAAATGGGGTTTAATGTCGCGTCCAAGATTATTGCACTTATATAGCGATGTGCATGTATGTGTGTGTGTTTGTGTGGCTGCTTGTACTAGTCCGGACTGATGCCGATTTATAGTGCTAGCTCACTGAGATACCATGCCGCAGTTTAACATGAATACCCCACTCAGACACAGTATACTGACTCCGAGCCAACCAGTCCTTGTTTTAGCCCCTTAATGACGAGCGCCAGACAGGGTAACAACAAGTACCATCTTTTAACGTCTTTTGGTATGACGCGGCCGGGGATCAAACCCAGGACCTTTCGCTCTCCGGGCGGATGCTCTACCACTAGACCACGGAGGCGGTCTCGTTATAAACATAAGTACACATGGGACCACAAAGAGCGTTCGCAATATCCGGGAAATTGGTTATAAGCGTGTTTGTTATATCCATATATGATAAAATATACAACCAATGACCGGTACTGAAGAAATAGTGTGTTATTTCCGTCAGTTCGTTAAAAGCATGTTCGTTGTTCACTGTATTCTTTGTTTATTAACAAACAGTTGTTACTTACCCAACTATTTTATTGAAAATCTTTGTGAACGGAAAGAGGTCTACATCTGAAAAGAAGGGAGGAAAAAAGGATTCACAAACTAAGGTATTGTTTGATTTTTGTTTTGTGTTTGTTTGTTGTTTAACGCCACACTCAGCCATATTCCAGCTACATGACAGCAGTCTGTAAATAATCGAGTCTGGACCAGATAATCCAGTGATCCATGCAATTGGGATACAATGACAGGCATCATCCAAAGTCAGCGAGAAAAACTACCCGATCCCGTTAGTCGCCTCTTATGTGAGTGAGTGAGTTGTGTTTAACACTGCTTTTATCAGTATTCCAGTTATATCACGGCATGTCAGCTTAATGTGGGAGGAAAGACCGAAGTAATGCAGGTCTCAGATGTTTACCAATTCGGTGAAACAAACGAGCACGGGTATGGTGCTGACAAACCTAGAACCATAATTGGGACCAACCGGGATTCGAACGCACAATCATAGGTTTCTGGCATGCCCAAGAGACGTAACAGCGCACTGTAGACTGTCATTGTCAGTAAAGACAGGGACCGAGTCAATAGTTAGGAAATGCATTTCTTCATTTTGTGCTCTACTGTGGGTTGTGGATAGAATACTCATGAGAGGGCTTGCAGTCAACACTTTGACTTTTTCAAATGTATGCTGAAACTCTAAGTTCACGATTATTGGTTTACGAGATTGAAACAACACTTCTGTATTCATATTTTTATTCATGCCTTGGGTTTGCCTAGGAATTTGGAAGTGAAAAAGATATGAATGTCAAAATGTGTCGTTGATATATTAATGAATGTTTTTTTACGGTCATGTGACCGGCCTCCTGTCAAGTGAAATAGCTGTATATCAGGTAAACTTCACATTAAATTATTTTAATTTAATGAACTCGCACAAAGTGAAAGGCTCTTCTTAAATAATAGCTGTGGGAAAACATTTGAATCAGAGTGTTAGTAACAACATCCTTCAGGTACTGCCATTATCTGGTGCCATTACATAAGATAGCTACACAATAAATCGCAAAGAACAATGAAGAACAAAGTATGGTTTATTTCACGATAAAACATTGTTTTATCATGACGTCAATTATTTCTGGAGATTCAAACATGCTCGCAACTTAAGGACGTCATATATTGGAAGACATTATTTTTGAGAGAGAAGTGTCTGGTAAGTTGTTCCCCATAGATGTACCTGGGCTATGCAGCTAAACGACGTGGCCGAACAATCGCATCCAAAAGTGGGAGAGATATGACAATCAGTATATGGAGAAAAGCACAGATTTAACAACGTGATGATTGTGAGAATATGCAGGAAATACCAAACTTAACCCTACTGTTTATAAAATGGACTTGTCCGACTTGTCTGAGGTCAGATTCTATTCAGTGAATCATCATTATTAAAATTTGGGTAAATATTGTAAAGCTTGTACATTTTATCAACATCCTAAAGAGGCTTGCATAATGTTGATATCTCATATAAGAAATAAACAACTCATGGTCGGTGTTTATCGTACAATAAAACACTGCAGGGAAAATAAAACACTTTGGGCTGCACACCTCATGGTTTATTCTCCCTGCAGTGTTTTATTGTAAGATAAACAACAACTATGAGTCGTTTTTTTCTTAAATAATAATTATCGTGATAAAACATGAGTAAGTTGTATTACTCATTGGTCGTTGTTTATCGTAAATAAAACACTGCAGGGAAAATGAAACACTTTGGGCTGCACCCCTCATGTTTTATTCTCCCTGCAGTGTTTTATTGTAAGATAAACAACAACTATGAGTAGTTTTTTTCTTATATAATAATTATCGTGATAAAACATGAGTTAGTTGTATTACTCATTGTTATTATGATAATAAATAACATATAGGGCTATTTAGACAAGATACTTTCACTGTGTCAGAATCAGTGAACTGCGTACCATCGGATACTCCTGGCTGTAGGTCTCCCTCCTGCACAAGCTCATCCCCAGAGCAGTCAGACTCACAACCTTCAAAAGACAAGGAAAACATCATAATTCTTTAAACTACCTGTATTTAACATGTTTAACATGCTTAATTATTTCAACGTTTTTGCCATATATCCTCTTATTGGTAAACAGCATCATGAATTTATGAATTGATTCAATCTCATATAAGTAAAATATATATATATTATAATATAAAATATATTTAAGTATATATAAATACACAAAATAAGTACTTGTATTCAATTCTATAAGTTAGATTCCCTTTTTTGTAAAATGTTAGAAATAAGTATATATAAATATACAAAATAAATACTTGTAAACAATTACAGGTTAGGTTCCCTTTTTTGTAAAATGTTAGAAATAAGTATATATAAATATACAAAATAAATACTTGTAAACAATTACAGGTTAGGTTCCCTTTTTTGTAAAATGTTAGGGCAGATTTTGTCAGTCAAAGAACAGAAAACATCACAAGACAATAAAAAGGCTCTTTTTTGGAAGTCACAAAGTTCATTAAAACTTACATTTACATAATCACTGACATTTGCATGTAATATATTCACATTCCAGGAAAACTTGCAATGTTAAGGTACCATTTGTGAGAAATGAGAACAGGTTTTTCGATCAGAGAATTTAAGAATTGCATAAATTGATAAAGCGTCACTAAATGCAATGTTTATTCCTCATACAGGATATTTACCATCCTACAACACACTCGCTTTTTAACCCTCTACACATAATTACCAGATTGCTCATCAGGAAGCAGGAACTACTGGGACTGCATGTTTTTAAGCACCCTCGTTATTTAGCCAATGGGTTTAAACACGGAAAAATAAAATGCTCTTAAGCCCATGCACTTATACTGAACCGAAAAGTGAGTGATCTCCCATACTAGGTGACCTTGAACATGTGTTGTGGCCTGTTTCTATATATGGCCACTTCGCACAAATCTTGTCAGAGGTTTCCACATTTACAGAAAGCCACTGGCCTCTGAGTCCAGGTGATAATCTGGATATACTCAGTGTGACATTTTAAACGCATTCACAAACACTCATAACAGCAATATTTGTTTGTTGCTATTTCATTGACAAGTGTCATTTCACTTTTGAGTCTTTTTGGCTCATAATTTCCTAGTTGAAAAAAGAAAATTATGTCTTATGTAAAAGTGTGGTTCTCATTCCATCAGTGAGTGTTGTTTCATCAAGTTCATTACTTCCTCTCGTGGTTTTTTCCTTTTTCATTCTGAAGCACGGAGATTTAATTTGGATAAAATGTTACTCAACTAAAACATTCAAAATCTGTCTGGCAGGATTAAAAATGTGCAGTCCCGGTAGTACATAATTACCAGAAGGTTTATTAATATGCAGGTACTAGAATATAATTTAGATGGGTCATCAATTATGAAGGTATACAATTACCAGATGGGTCATCAATATGCAGGTATACAATTACCAGATGGGTCATCAATATGCAGGTATATAATTACAGATGGGTCATCAATATGCAGGTATATAATTACAGATGGGTCATCAATATACAGGTATATAATAACAGATGGGTCATCAATATACAGGTAGCCTATATAATAACAGATGGGTCATCAATATACAGGTAGCCTATATAATAACAGATTGGTCATCAATATGCAGGTAGCCTATATAATAACAGATGGGTCATCAATATACAGATAGCCTATATAATAACAGATGGGTCATCAATATGCAGGTAGCCTATATAATAACAGATGGGTCATCAATATACAGGTAGCCTATATAATAACAGATGGGTCATCAATATACAGGTATATAATTACAGATGGGTCATCAATATACAGGTATATAATAACAGATGGGTCATCAATTTACAGGTATAAAATTGCAAATGGGTCATCAATATGCAGGTAGCCTATATAATAACAGATGGGTCATCAATATACAGGTATATAATTACAGATGGGTCATCAATATACAGGTAGCCTATATAATAACAGATGGGTCATCAATATACAGGTATATAATAACAGATGGGTCATCAATATACAGGTATATAATTACAGATGGGTCATCAATATGCAGGTATATAATTACAGATGGGTCATCAATATACAGGTATATAATTACAGTTGGGTCATCAATTTACAGGTATAAAATTACAGCTGGATCATCAATATGCAGGTATATAATTACAGACGGGTCATCAACATACAGATATATAATTTCCAGAAGGGTCTAAGGAAACAACTAACTTGTTTCTTCTTCCTGTGTAGTTTCTTGGGATAGGTCAAGGGACATCGGCAACGACAAGGACTCCATGGTGACATCTTCTATCCCACTCATCGTGACGGATGTCTGGTGGTTAAGATAGGACAATGAGATAAGATCCAGAAAGGCAGCCTGTTCAAGATTGAAGATTGAAGCAGGCAATGTTGTGGAACTACTAGAAGAGTGGAGAAAGCTAGCCCAGTACATCTACAAAGCAGGGACATTATGAAGTGACCGGCTGAGCGTAGCAACAACACTCTTAATCTTAATATCTTGCTGCTCACCTTTGCAAGCACTGTGCTCATGACTTCAGATACATAACAACTCAAGGGATGACACTCCCCTTTGGGAGTCCCCAATTTCATGGTCTCTGTTACTGTTAGCCTAACATGAAACTGAAAGTTCAATTCTAATATCCGTTTATGCAGGTGAAAAATACACGTGTTGATATTAAGGCCGATATTTACAATTACCTGGAATCGTTTTCCCCTCAGAGAACTGTGTGTCAAATATCGAAGGTATATTCTGCCTCAAAACATTTAGATAGTTCTCTTGTCTTTCCCGGCGTTTCCGTGTTAGGGATTGTACAAGGGAGGTTACTCTCACGCCTTTACTATGAATACCACGATAAAGAAGTTTATACGTGAACCATGCAGCACCTCGTTGTGTGTGTGTATGTGTGTGTGTGTGTGTGTGTGTGTGTGTGTGTGTGTGTGCTTGTACTATATAGTCCAGACTGAGTGGTATGTTGGTTCTAAAGCGCTAGCCCATTGCGAAGATACCATACCGCAGAAGAACTTGGAAATCCCTTACCGACCAGTTTGTATCCCCATAATGCCGAGCGCCAGGCAGGTTAACAACAAGTACCATCTTTGAATGTATTTTGCATGAAGTACGCGCCCGGGTCTCGAACCACAGACATTTCGCTCCCAGGGCAGACGCTCTATCCACTAGATCATGGAGGCGGTCGCCGTTGTATTTATATTTGCTCACGATCACCTTTCTGCATTTTGCTTCAAGAGTCTCCGTCTGTAAATCCCAGTCAGGAAATTAAAGTAACGGAAAGCACGAGTGATCGTTTTAAGTGGAATATTCTAGTGGCATGGCCCAGGTCAGTTTCGGAGTCAAGGGTCAACAATCATTTTATTTGGAGGCCCTTTTCCCTATGACGACCACAATCGCATTGTGATCTTAAAAAAAAAAAAAATCAAATAGTCGTATTCTTATGTATAGTCTTGCGACATTTATAAATGTGTGGGATTTCTCGAAGTGATCGTGAGGTCTGATCTCATGAAAAAGGGCGAAGTGACAGGAATTAAAGCACGCGAAGGCTAATACTAGTATATAGATCCCTGGGGAAAAGAAATTATAAACATATAATTTATGTAATGCGATCTTGGATATCATATTATATTATAGAATATAGATCATATTGTTACAGAGATATATTTCATTGAAGCCTAAATATAAACAGCCGCCTAAATGGGCGAGGTGACAGGAATTAAAGAACGTAAAGGCTAATATATAAACCCCTGGGAAAAGAAACTATGAACATGAAAATTGTATCTGACCAAAACATTACAAACGATATCAAAACGTTACTTAGCTGAAAACAGTAAACGAAACAGTGCTAACTTAAGGTCCAAAACAAAAATACGGTAAACCATATAAAATGCATTACCATCGAACAACCACATGGTTTAAAGGTCAGTTATTAATAATTATTGAACTCGTTATCTAGTTGAAGTGTGATCCTCCTGTATTTCGCTTCTTTCAACGTTCGCTACGTATTAGATCCTTGTGATACATTTTTGTTAAACCTTGTCTCAAATCCCTGGTATTTATTTTGTCACATTTTGTGACTGGTGGCAGCATCCATTAATTTGAGTAGTTTATCCCCCAGCAATCGTCTTTGACTTTGGTCTGTCCGTTACACTATTTACTAAAATATGGCAGCAGGGTACATGTGTACTTGAGGAATAGTACTTGGGTATTTACGTTTTACATACGTACAGAATAATAGATATAATTGATCTACTACAAAGAACCCTTATGACATGGCTCGGAAAGGTTCACGGAACATCTAATTGATCATTCTTTATCTTGACGATCTTCATCCTGATTGCTTGGCGCCGTTGATGGAAGGAGGTTTTGCATAACATACATATGCACGTTTTATCCTTTCCTCTTATGTGTATTATTGCACATATATGTTTCTGGAACGTTTACAAACGAAAACAAATTCATTGTCCCCCTTCCTCTCTTTCTTTCTCTTTATCTACGCCACACACGGGCACACCGATCTACGAAGTCGAGACAGTATCTCGATCCATCAGTGGAAGGTACTGGAGCCTAGTCCAGGTCTGTTCAATTGATGTGTCATTCAGCCCAATCCAAACGTGCCACCTTGTGATGGAAGAGACCAGCCTTACGGAGACGCTTACGCATTGTCTGAGTAGAAACGTTAATGCCACTTGCGTTGCGCAGGTCATTTCTGAGTGTGGTGGCAAACACGAAATGAGGACGTCGTGATGCAATCAGGAGAAACATGTTTTCCAGTTGTGTGGTGGAACGCTGTCGACCACCTGTATGTCGCTTGGCAGCTGATCCAAACATCTGTATCTGATTCCATGCCCTGCCGATGACACATTGACTGACACCAAACAACGGGACTTTGTTTTGACACAGTTTCAAGCAAGCCTGTGCATCTGCCTCATTCTTTAGTCGTCAAACGACGTCTTTGACGCTAAAGGGGGCATACGGTCGTTCAGTTGTTGCAATCGTCAGTAGCAAATGTTGGTGTGCTCTCTGATAATGATGTGCAACTATTCTGTCACGATTCATCCAAACACATGTTTTCAAGTACCTCGTGCACATCGTGCCTATGACTACAAGTCTCTGTAGGGTCCTGTAGGGGTTACCCAATCATTGTGAACTGGGATAGTTAAATCTTTGTTTGTTGGATTATTTTTGATATCATCCAAAATTAATCCTTAGCAAACTTTGAGAAGTATATTTCTTCAATGTGAAGCATTTTACACAACTGTTGTTCAAGTTGAGGTAAGGCACTGAATATATATCCCTGTTTGATGTACATTCTTACAGTAAGTTAGCATCGTAAGTTAGTCTCGTAAGTTCGTATCGTAAGTTAGTATCAGTCAGACACAGACTTTGTCGTTTGCAACAGAATCAGTCATGCTTGCACATTTGTCACCAAATAAAATGAAGAAGAGACTGCCCAAGCCTCGCTCTACAAGCGATTTCATCTGTGTGGTATTTGGGGTTCGAACATTTATGCAAGAAGTACGTAGGCATAACCATGGGTAGAAATTGTGCCCCCTCCTTACAGATCTGTTTCTTCATGCATATGGATCTGAATTTCTGCTCGGATTGGCAAAATCAAAACAAGGAACTTTGATCAAGAACATTAAATTAAGCTTCAGGTATATCGATGATCTGATTGTGTTCAATAATGGTCAAATAGGCAATTCCCTTCCACGGAAACTAAGGGCCAGTGTGTCATATTTTGATACTAGTATATGCAGAACGAGTTGCAAAACCTATCCACAAAACTGTATGGCAAGAGGATTCACCTCATCTCTAAATACGTGTAATCAACTTTCCCTTTATGTCGAGCAATACTCTAGCAGCTACAGCGTTTGCGCTTCAATTCACAACTTATGACGTTAACAGGACCATAATCTTTCTCCGTCAAAGGGCGTCATACGACTATTGTTCAAAAGTCAGAGTTACGACATTCAGTGTCATAAAGCTTTCACAATGCTCGATGGTAGATATGTGGAGGACATTTCCACATTTAATGCATCGCTGACCAGAATGATGTCCGATTTAATTCGTCATTTTGACATGTATTTCCGTGTATTTTGTAGGTGAATTGACTATGGTTTGCATGCGTTTGTGACGGGTGTCACTTGTGTGGCGGGATACGCTCACTTGGTATCAACACTATTTGATAACGATTCATCAGCAGATTCTTCTGAAGTAGTCGCAATCGTTCAATCAATTCTGCCTTCAGTAGAGATTTCTGATCATTTTGTAAATGTTTTTTTGTCGCTTTTCATTTTAAGAGAAACCAAGATTCCTGTACAAATGTACATTCTAGTGACAGATCTCTTAAAAAAGGTTATATTAAAACCGATAACAGTTAAGCCTGTTCCAGATATGTGATGAAGCAGCCGGGCAAACAATCCAAAATTCGAAAAATTCGAAATAATATGCACCTCAAAACAAAACCCAAATTCAACCCAACCCCACCAATCCAAGGATTTACTGCTGTATGCCGTGGTCTGCACTGCCGGGAGGGAAACTGAAAATTTTCAATAAAACTATTTACATGTACAGCGGCTTATTGGAGCTCTTTTGTTTAACGCCTCGCTCGGCATTATTCCAGCTATATGACATCGGACGTCCACTATTTGAAGATGTGCTCATATACAGTGGCTCTCTGTAGACACGCTTATGCCAAAGCATTTTCCTACTTTACCTTTTGATGTTCAAGTGATGTTTTTCAGGCGAATAGCTGACTTGCCTTATAAGTTTGCACTTGTTTGTATGTCCGATGCAATATCCCCTATTTTGACTTGTAACATATGTTCCCTTGTTTTAGGTGAACAATTGACTCGTCTTTGCATGTGTTTGTGACGATTGCCACCGGTGGTATGGGATACGCTCACCTTTTCACGAACAACTGGTTTCATTACTATTGGATAGTGATTCATAAACACATGCTTGTGATACAGTAGGAAGAATACAATCGATTCTGCTTTCAACACAGATTTCTTATGATTATGGAAATAAATGTGTAGCTTCACCCACACAACAAAGCAGTTGTTGCTACTGATCTTTGTCATTGGCTGATTGTAATAATTAAACTTACACCTGGTAATGAGATAAACGGAATTTTGTTTGAGTATACTCATTTAGACTAGTTTGTGATAAGGGTCCTGTACATGTTGGCTGTGGTATTAAAACTGTTTAAAATGCCGGGCAAAAGAAAGTATTCACCAATGTTTGATCATGGCAAAAATTTAACAACGTAAAAAATAACGTAACGAGAAATGTTTTTTTTATGGTGATGTATTTGATACGGATATCATAGTTGTGTTTTGGGCCTTAGGGTAGCAGGGTTTCGGCGACTGTTTTCAGCCTAGTAACAGTTTGATAACGTTTCTAATGTTTTGGTCAAATCCAATTTTCAAGTGTGTACTTTCTTCTCCCAGGGGTTCTATATATTAGCATTCGCGCGCTGTTACCTCGCCCTTTCAGCCGGCTGTTTATATTCAGGCTTCAATGAAATATATCTCTGTAACAATAGGATCTATATTTACAATATAATATGATATCCAAGATCGCATTACATACAATGTACATTACATAAGTAAGGAGTCATTTGTATACTCACTTATGCACACACATTTATGGGTGTCTACATTAAGGAAGTAACTGCTTGTGTGCAAATATGGGATCTGAAAAGCGATTGATAATGAATTGTTGTTGTATTCAATTTAATTTTGTACTTCGCCAACATAAGCATCAGCATGTTACGTTTTCCCTCTAATTAAGCTTGTATCAAGTCTCAACTTCAACCTAAACAAAACGTAACTATATTTCCGGCTAAAGCATTAAGAATAGCATTTGGTAATATAAACATTTCTTTGAATAAGTAAATATTCGGAGTCTGTACAAAGTTATGCGGTGGTTATATCGAAGACGAATTTCATGTTTTATTGATTTGTGATCGTTACCGAAATCTTTCTGAATTCTGTAGTAAGTATAAATATCAGCAATTGATGATTCATCTTTTCAGTGTACTATATGGGTCATATGGCCTGAAATACTGAATACAATAATGTGGATATGTATCAATTCAATTCAATGGTTTAATATACATAAGACCATCGGCCAAATATACAAGTATCTGAATTAACATGCTAACAGATGACAGTTGAACTTGAAGTTTAAAATATTTGCAGCGGCCGATTTGTGTCAAGGGCAGTGTACACGCATAAAGTCATCAGCATGGCCATTTCGTGTCACCCATACGTGTAATCTCTGACGCACAAAGTAATAACAGGCGGACTTAGTAATGTACAATGGATGTGTGCACTGTGGATCTCAAAACACCCCTGTAATCGGCCCCGTTTGGGAACAGGGACAGATTGCCAGCCTCCTTGACCTTAGAAACAAATCGTCCAAAGATCAGATGTGGTTAAGTTGCGTACAACTTTTATTGATTCACTAAATATTAAAATCACAATAGACAGATAAAAGGAATTTGAAAACACTAGGGTGTACATATGAGTAATTTGGAAAATACAGTGGTCTTAAATACTTTGGACACATTATTAAAAAAAGGGCATTCGTCCTCTATATCAGTTTCACAAAACGAACAGCGGGCACGGGTGGCCCAGTCGTCTAAGGTGCCGCGATTCGCTGTGCAGAGTTGCGTCCCTTGGGCACGCCAGAAACCTATGATTGTGGGTTCGAATCCCGGTTCGTCCCGATTATGTTTCTAGGTTTGTCAGCACCATACCGTGCTCGTGGGTTTCACCGAAGTGGTAAACGTCTGAGACCTGCATCACTTCGGGCTTTCCTCCCACATTAAGCTGACACGCCGCGATATAACTGGAATATTTTTAAAAAAGCGGCGTTAAACCCAACTCAATCACTCACAAAACGAACACAAACACTGTTCTAGCTGTAATTTGGGTTTAACCCATCTCTTCTTTTCGATTATGAACTGTGCCTTTAACGTGCTTGAACTACGCGGTACTTTTACACCAATACTGATAAGATGCATTGCAGAATATAAGGGATCCTTCATAGCAAGGTGAAGCCTGGTTTCATGGCGTGGCTAAGGCTTGATAAAAAACATTTCTTCACATTTGTGTGTATGTATCATGATTCCGCTGCTTAGATTCAGGCAAACATCAAGTTTCATTTACTATTACTTGATCCCGCCAAACATACCCGAAACCAAATTGGTTTAATATATTTTTAACCAAAACGGACCAACTTGCTAAAGGATGCCTTAACATCATTTCTAAAAGAGCTTTATGAATGATACTATTATATGTAAATTTGCAGACTTGAAGATAATGTGATTTTAAATTAATTGTACTGGTTCAGACCCAAGGCACAAACACCTACTCCTGTACCTGTACTTAGTACTGGCAATGCGCACGTGTTTTTGAGATAAGGCGAAAAATGTCAAAATCACGATATGTCATTGCTGGAAGAAATGCACGTGCCCCCGGGGTATAAAAACTGCACAGTAGCAATGTCAAACATCCACATTGTTCAAAAACACATTTGAAATGCCAAGACTAATATCAGAACAACGTATACAGCAGGTATCATGGCCTACCGACCGTTCAGAGAACAGACGTTGACTGCTGAACATCGACGCAGACGGATACGATTGACTAATGCAGTCCGACGGTGGCAGCGTCGGGATTGGCAACGCGTGGTCTTTACGGACGTAATAAGGTTGTGTTGATGGCAGACAGCGTGTTTACCGTCGCTTAGGTGAACAGACATCTGCTTGCCGCGTTCAAGAAGTCGTTCCTTACGGTTGATGTGGCGTTAGGAAGGCGTGTGTTTTCTTGACCTCAAATGGTACAAAGGAGAGATATGTATAAACTAAGTACACGTCCTCTTGTGCAACTCATATTGCGAAATATCCGCTAAATGCTAATCTTGAATAGGGTCCGTTCGATCGAACCAATCCTATTGTATGTTTGTGATGATGAACCGAAAACTGTTGGGTCTAATGTTTAACGTGCATCCATATATATTGCAGACTGTTGTCAGCAATGCCAATCTACCATTTGTTTCTAATCATACAGTTCGGTGTCCTCAAATGACGCTAAACCGCAATCTATTATCAACGCAGTCTGTGATTAAATAGAACAATGTTCCCGATTTTATCAAGTAAATATACAAACACTCGCAGAAACGTATCCAATGACTATAAAACTAGCGGTCGGTTTATTCCATTTCATTCCACGTTTGATGTCAATGATGCTGCTTCTCTTGGTCACTTTGTCCTGTCTGGCGGCCATCAAGGCTGAACCCGAACCCTGCTGTATTACCAATAAATGGTCAGCCACGATGTTCGACGTTAACCAGCCCTCCCAAGGAAATAGTGTAAGTTACACAACACTTGCATGTGTATCTTTAGGTGTTTGCAATAGCTCTATTATATCTATTACTCTGTACCTCCCTTAAACGTAAATATTCAAATACTTTGCTTCAAATACAAATGTACCCTGCTGCCATCCCATAGTAAAGGCATTGGAATCTTGCTGTGATTAAGGCACATCTTTCTGAGGATATTCTACATATGTGATATGCACGATGTGAACTTCTCTACTCTCTACAGTCTAAGGATGTGCAATGAAGTTAAATATTGGTTAAACACGACCACCTCTGTACGACTACTGCCTTCTTAGGTGTGTTTTAGGAGTTATTTTAACTTTTAGGAAGGCAGCAAGGACAAAAGAGGATCAACGACCTAAATATGATCAGGCATCTGTTATTATACTTCCACATATATTTAAATGTGTTGTTATTTGTGTGACGTGTACGAGGTAGGAGTATCAATCTAGTTCACTTCAGGACACGGAGTTGGAACGGTAATTATTAGATAACATAAATTTATAAAACCATTATATTATGGTAACAACCGAATTTGTAAAGTAGTTATTCAGTCTATATTAATATGTGTTGTTATGTTGTTGTTATCAGTTGGAAAAGTAAACACTGGAAAGTACTCACATGGTCTGTGAAAACTACTCTCTTGCATACTTTATGGGAACGGTTTTGTTGGTTTTATTTAGATAACGGCTGACTTCTTCTACGACTTCGACAGCCTAGCCACTGCCACCCAGTACTATAAGTACGGATCATCTCAACGTGTGAAGTCAAACAGAGTTGTCATGTCGTTCTCCAAGGTAACACTATTCATTTGTACATCGCAAATTCGTCATAGAGTAATCCATGTCATTTTGTAGTATGAGGTATCGTTCTCCCTGTTGCCTACAGTTCAATGACGTATGGAAAAGTCTGTTACCTACAGTCTATAGAGGTATGGCTCAGTCTGTTACCCACAGTTCATTGAGGTATGGTTCTCCATGTTACCTACAGTTCAATGAGGTATGGTTCAGTCTGTTACCTACAGTTCATTGAGGTATGGTTCTGTCTGTTACCCACATTTGTTTGAGGTATTGCTCAGTTATATACCCACAGTTTATTAAGGTATGGTTCAGTCTGTTACCCAGTTCATTGAGGTATTGTTCAACCATTTACCACCAGTTCCTTGAGGTATGGTTCAGTCTGTTACCTACAATTGTTTGAGTTATGGCTCAGTCTGTTACCTACAGTTGTTTGAGATATGGCTCAGTCTGTTACCCACAGTTCATTGAGGTATGGTGCAGTCTGTTACCTTCAGTTGTTTGAGGTATGTCCCGGTCTGTTACCCACAGTTTATTGAGGTATGGTTCAACCTGTTACCTACAGTTGTTTGAGGTATGGTTCAGTCTGTTACCTACAGTTGTTTGAGGTATGGTTCAGTCTGTTACCCACAGTTCATTGAGGTATGGTGCAGTCTGTTACCTTCAGTTGTTTGAGGTATGGCGCAGTCCGTTACCTACAGTTGTTTGAGGTATGGCTCAGTCTGTTACCCAGTTTATTGAGGTATGGTTCAACCTGTTACCCACAGGTCATTGAGGTAAGGCTCAGTCTGTTACCTTCAGTTGTTTGAGGTATGGCTCAGCCTGTTACCTACAGTTGTTTGAGTTATGGCTCAGTCTGTTACCTACAGTTGTTTGAGGTATGGCTCAGTCTGTTACCTACAGTTGTTTGAGGTATGGCTCAGCCTGTTACCTACAGTTGTTTGAGGTAAGGCTCAGTCTGTTACCTACAGTTGTTTGAGGTATGGCTCAGTCTGTTACCTACAGTTGTTTGAGGTATGGCTCAGCCTGTTACCTACAGTTGTTTGAGGTATGGCTCAGTCTGTTACCTACAGTTGTTTGAGGTATGGTTCTCCATGTTACCTACAGTTCAATGAGGTATGGTTCAGTCTGTTACCTACAGTTCATTGAGGTATGGTTCTGTCTGTTACCCACATTTGTTTGAGGTATTGCTCAGTTATATACCCACAGTTTATTAAGGTATGGTTCAGTCTGTTACCCAGTTCATTGAGGTATTGTTCAACCATTTACCACCAGTTCCTTGAGGTATGGTTCAGTCTGTTACCTACAATTGTTTGAGTTATGGCTCAGTCTGTTACCTTCAGTTGTTTGAGGTATGTCCCGGTCTGTTACCCACAGTTTATTGAGGTATGGTTCAACCTGTTACCTACAGTTGTTTGAGGTATGGTTCAGTCTGTTACCTACAGTTGTTTGAGGTATGGTTCAGTCTGTTACCCACAGTTCATTGAGGTATGGTGCAGTCTGTTACCTTCAGTTGTTTGAGGTATGGCGCAGTCCGTTACCTACAGTTGTTTGAGGTATGGCTCAGTCTGTTACCCAGTTTATTGAGGTATGGTTCAACCTGTTACCCACAGGTCATTGAGGTAAGGCTCAGTCTGTTACCTTCAGTTGTTTGAGGTATGGCTCAGCCTGTTACCTACAGTTGTTTGAGTTATGGCTCAGTCTGTTACCTACAGTTGTTTGAGGTATGGCTCAGTCTGTTACCTACAGTTGTTTGAGGTATGGCTCAGCCTGTTACCTACAGTTGTTTGAGGTAAGGCTCAGTCTGTTACCTACAGTTGTTTGAGGTATGGCTCAGTCTGTTACCTACAGTTGTTTGAGGTATGGCTCAGCCTGTTACCTACAGTTGTTTGAGGTATGGCTCAGTCTGTTACCTACAGTTGTTTGAGGTATGGCACAGTCTATTATCTACAGTTGGTTGAGGTTATTTTAGTTCGGTATAACCGTAGTTTACTGTACTTATTTCAAGGACATCGTGGTGCAGTCCAAAACGTTGCATCATTGCATGTACCATTTTCTAAGATACAGTGCGATACATCCCAGTAAATGTGATTTTGACTTTGAAGAGAGAACGCTTCATGATCGACGCTGACGGCACATGCACCAAGGTTGCCGACCCTAACACGTTCCTGCCAATATGCATCCCAAGTAGGTACCTTCTGCACTGTCACATTTGCCCTATGTTCATCACGTTTATATAGATGCTTATCCATTGTTTTTTTATTATTGTTCTATTTCGTTGTCGTCTTGATGTTACTATTTATCTGTAGCAGGGCACAATACATTTGACGGTTATTTGATCTTTAAAATTTCAATATCTAAATTTGCCTACAGTCAGGGTTGGAAACCTCTCTATGTCCATCTTGATAATGTTCTGTTGTTCTGTTCACGTTTCGATTTGATGTCATGGCAGATATCTCTACGTTGTGCGTGTGCGTGTTGTTGTTGAACAGTATTAACGGAGGTTCTTGATATTTAACAGGATCTGTTAACTTTAATCAGTTTTTACTTAATAACTATTTAATAGAAATACATAATTCTTTTGGCCTGTGTTTTAATTTGGTATTGTTTAAACAAAATCTGCATAACAAGTAAGAACGGTGTGATAGTCTACTCGATTTCCTACATTGGTACAATGTGTGAAGCACTTTTAGGGTGTCCGGCACCCTGATATTACTGGAATATTGCTAAAAGCGGCATAAAACCATATTTTATCACTACATTGACTCCTTCACTTCTGTCGAAACATTCCAGTGCCCTGGTGTTCGTGGTACTCTTCCCTCCAAGCCTGTATAAACATAGTCTAATAGGACCCTATGATTCATTATCAATATTAGAGGAATATTTATAAAAAAGAATGTTGGCAATAACACAACACATATCATACAAGGGCCCGGGTTTGCTGTGGGGAAAAACATCGTTATTTCCCTTAGTTGTCAGGATCCGCTGGTAAGGATTCAAATCCAACATTCACCCCAATTAACATCCTGTGTCTGTTTACGCCATACCCGTCATGGTAGACTTCCACGAAATTGTAAACCTCGACGCGTTGCGACACAAGGTAGTTTCTCTCCCGTTATCTGGCACACATAACTGAAATAGTGTTACCAGAGGCCTAAAACCCAAACCCAAGCTCATATGTGTACAGTAATATAAGTGGTCACCTTCCATGTAGCCGTGAGAACATACCTTGGCTCCAGCTATGTCGGCACCGAGGCAAGCGGACTGGCAACGGACACCTGGTTCTTTTCAATCAACACCCACAACTACACCATGAGCTATACAAACCCCGGCTGCGTCCTAACATTCCAGGGAGTCGTCTATACACAATCCCGTGAGTACACAGTGCGTTAGTAACATATAGATTAACTCGGCTGAGTAGGTTTTAGTGTGTGTGTTTTATTTTATGCACATGATCGTAGCTCCATAAAAGCTCTTTTTAAGGATCAGTATAGGATAAAGTGTGTGAATGTGTGTCCATCTGGATCGCTGTGTAACCGATGGTGGAGCATGCCCATTTGTATCAGTGTGTAACCAATGATGGAGCATGTCCATCTGGATCGCTGTGTAACCGATGGTGGAGCATGCCCATTTGGGTCGGTGTGTAACCAGTGGTGGAGCATGTCCATCTGGATCGCTGTGTTACCAATGGTGGAGCATGCCAATTTGTATCAGTGTGTAACCAATGATGGAGCATGTCCATCTGGATCGCTGTGTAACCGATGGTGGAGCATGCCCATTTTGGTCGGTGTGTAACCAGTAGTGGAGCATGTCCATCTGGATCAGTGTGAAACCAATTGTGTAGCATGTCAATCTGGATCGGTGTGAAACCAATGGTTGAGCATGTCCATCTGAATCGCTGTGAAACCAATGGTGGAGCATGTACATCTGGATCAGTGGTAAACCAATGGTGGAGCATGTCCATTTGTATCAGTGGTAAACCAATGGTGGAGCATGTCCATTTGTATCAGTGTGTAACCAATGGTGGAGCATGTCCATCTGGATCGATGTGAAACCAATGGTGGAGCATGTCAATCTGGATCGGTGTGAAACCAATGGTGGAGCATGTCCATCTGGATCACTGTGAAATCAACGGTGGAGCATATACATCTGGGTCGGTGTGAAACCAATGGTGGAGCATGTCCATCTGGATCAGTGGTAAACCAATGGTGGAACATGCCCATTTGTATCAGTGGTAAATCAATGGTGGAGCATGTCCATTTGTATCAGTGGTAAACCAATGGTGGAGCATGTCCATCTGGATCGCTGTGAAACCAATGGTGGTGGAGCATGTACATCTGGGTCGGTGTGAAACCAATGGCGGAGCATGTCCATCTGGATTGGTGTGAAACCAATGGTGGAGCATGTCAATCTGGATGAGTGTGAAACCAATGGTGGAACATGTCAATCTGGATTGGTGTGAAACCAATGGTGGAGCATGTCCATTTGTATCAGTGTGAAACCAATGGTGGAACATGTCAATCTGGATGAGTGTGAAATCAATGGTGGAGCATGTCCATCTGGATTGGTGTGAAACCAATGGTGGAGCATGTACATCTGGGTCGGTGTGAAACCAATGGTGAGGCATGTCCATTTGTATCGGTGTGAAACCAATTGTGGAGCATGTCCATTTGTATCAGTGTGTCACCAATGGTGGAGCATGTCCATCTGGATCGATGTGAAACCAATGGTGGAACATGTACATCTGGATCGGTGTGAAACCAATGGTGGAGCATGTCCATCTGGATGAGTGTGAAACCAATTGTGGAGCATGTCCATCTGGATCAGTGTGAGACCAATGGTTGAGCATGTCCATCTGGATTGGTGTGAAACCAATGGTGGAGCATGTCAATCTGGATGAGTGTGAAACCAATGGTGGAGCATGTCCATCTGGATTGGTGTGAAACCAATTGTGGAGCATGTCCATCTGGATGAGTGTGAAACCAATGGTTGAGCATGTCCATCTGGATTGGTGTGAAACCAATGGTGGAGCATGTCCATCTGGATAATGTCCATCTGTGTAAAACCAGTTCTGGAGCATGTACATCTGGATTTAACATCTTGAGTTAATGTTATGTTTGGGCATAAACATCAGGTGCATTATCAGTATCATATATGATAATAACAATCATTGTTGTGTTTCAGTAGATATTGTGGTATACTTCAACGGATATAAAGCAGGCATCACGGATCCAGCTGCTTTTGACATCCCGGCCTCCTGCCTATAGCAGGGCATCTGCAGTGGTCATTGTTTATTTGTTATCACTGTTGTTGTGTGTTTAATTTGTGTAATATTTACAAATGGTTTTTGATCAATACATATCTTTCAAAGTATTGTACTTGTACGTTCTCAATTGGTCGTGTAATATTATCAGACAGGTGAGAGGTTTACCTGTCAATAACACTCAATATGAAGCTTGAGGAGCTCCACAACAGTAGCAGGTGAACAGTGTATTGACTGAGTTCTCCACAACAGTTATAGGTGAACATTGTATTGACTGAGGTACTCCACAACAGTAGCAGGTGAACAGTGTATTGACTGAGGTACTCTGCAACAGTAGCAGGTGAACAGTGTATTGACTGAGGTACTCTGCAACAGTAGCAGGTGAACAGTGTATTGACTGAGGTACTCTGCAACAGTAGGAGGTGAACAGTGTATTGACTGAGGTACTCCACAACAGTAGCAGGTGAACAGTGTATTGACTGAGGTACTCTGCAACAGTAGCAGGTGAACAGTGTATTGACTGAGGTACTCTGCAACAGTAGCAGGTGAACAGTGTATTGACTGAGGTACTCTGCAACAGCAGCAGGTGAACAGTGTATGGACTGAGGTACTCCACAACAGTAGCAGGTGAACAGTGTATTGACTGAGTTCTCCACAACGGGTGTAGGTGAAAGGTGTGTTGATTGAGGTGCTCCACAACGTTAGCAGGTGAACAGTGAATTGACTGAGGTACTCCACAACAGTAGTAAGTGAACAATGTATTGACTGAGGTTATCCACAACAGTAGCAGGTGAGCAGTAAATTGACTGAGGTACTCCACAACAGTAGCAGGTGAACAGTGTATTGACTGAGGTTCTCTGCAACATTTATAGGTGAACTGTGTATTGACTGAGTTCTCCACAACGGGTGTAGGTGAAAGGTGTGTTGACTGAGGTACTCCACAACAGTAGTAAGTGAACAATGTATTGACTGAGGTTATCCACAACAGTAGCAGGTGAGCAGTAAATTGACTGAGGTACTCCACAACAGTAGCAGGTGAACAGTGTATTGACTGAGGTTCTCTGCAACAGTAGCAGGTGAACAGTGTATTGACTGAGGTACTCAACAACAGTAGGAGGTGAACAGTGTATTGACTGAGGTTCTCTGCAACAGTAGCAGGTGAACAGTGAATTGACTGAGGTTCTCCACAACAGTAGCAGGTGAACAGTGTATTGACTGAGGTACTCAACAACAGTAGCAGGTGAACAGTGTATTGACTGAGGTTCTCTGCAACAGTAGCAGGTGAACGGTTTATCTTGTTGCAGTCTCAGAGAAAGATTACGACATCCTAACGTCATTTGAAATATTACAAATAAACGTATGTACGGTGTCTTCATCTTCAATGTCAGGCTTTAGGGCGCTGTTATTTATTTAATATCCCAAATTCAAAGGGATTAATTTCTGTATATTCAAATTGATTGTTAATAATGGATTGACCATCAATGGTCTCGACAGATGTAAAACAACAAAACGACAAAGGCAACATATAATCACCTAGATAATACATTAAGCCTTTAAGTTTACATTTACACAAGGCTATATGCATAAAATTACAAACTGGTATCCCACATTTCTCAAACAAGTTCCCTAATCTTTAAGAAATGGCTTGGTATTTTGTCAAATAAAGCTGAGAATTCTGCTTTGTTGAAAGTTCCTAATAGACATCCCTATTAGATGTACATACAAGTACATTGAGTTAAGAGGTAACAGCATCAAGAACAGTATTGAGGTATTGTTTATAGGTATTGTGTACTATTGTGTAATCACTTGAAATATTCAGAAATATTAAAACCCTTTCCTTTCCTAAGTAGTCGTTAAATACAGGCATAATTATGATGAAATGATTTCAACATTATAAAGTTTATATTTGTAAACTTCCCATTTTCCCGAAAGGGGACGGGGAATAGGCATTGAATTTACTAGCTAGAAATCAGCATTCAGGAAAAACATATTTTCATTCCTGCTAAAGGAAATGTTACTCGAACTGTAAGTGTTTTAGTGTTGAATAACGCAGAAATCTCCATTTTTTGTTTAAGGAAATAATTAGAAATTACGTTACTGATATAAACATTAGTTTTCCTTTGTGCCAATATTGATTAGTGAAAGGGGGCCTTGTTTGAATCTCCCCCAACACTCGCCCTTTGATTAAACCATGCAGTGAAATCAATTCAACTTTGTCAACATACACCACATGCATCCACGTCCTTGATGTTGCTACTCTTGGTCACTCTTGGCCACACCATGCTGTGTGGACTAAAAATGGTCAGCCACTATGTTCGACGTTCGTCAGCCCTCCCAAGGAAACAGTGCAAGTTATATCACTCAATAAGTTGGGTGGGGGGTGGGGGGGGGGGGGGGGGTTATATAGTGTCACGTACCCTGTGTGTGAGTATATATCTGAACCAATAAAATACACATTTAAGACAAACAGAACAACCAAGATCGCATTACTTATGATATACAAGCCGGAACGACATGCGATAAGATAACTGTTGAACTAGCATTAAGAAGAGCAGTGTCAAGGACTGAGCATAATCATAATGCCAGAATATTTTACCGATTCCAATACGAAATATACAATGCATTAATGTAGTGTGGCTCTTGGTCAGAGTATAACAGGTTCCAACTTATAAGTTCCTTTGACCTCATAAACAATATAGTCAAAAGTACAGATATGTATAAATTGTACACATGTCCTCTTGCGCAACTGTGACTCATATTGCGTAATGTGCACTGAATGCTTATCTTGAAAAGGGTCGTAAGAGGCGACAAACGGGATCGGTTGGTCAGGCTCACTGACTATATGAAAAATAATTGCCCACTCCTTAACCAAACAGAAGCTTGATTATAAACATGTATAAGGGTATTATTATACAGGTGTGTTATACATTGTGTGAACTTCCCCATGTGGTGTAAGGGTGTGCGCAATGAAGTTTTATTCCATACTGAAAGAACTCAGGGCCGTAGCACAATTCTGTTTTCGGGAATGGGTGCAGATCCATTTAACAGGTCATATTCTAATTAACATTTCAATCACTGGATTGTCTTGTCCAGCATCGATTATTTACAGACTGACATCATATAGCTGGAATATTACTCAGTGGGGCGGTAAACCAGAAAGAAATACACCTACAGTTCATTGAAGTATGGATCACCCTGTTATCTACAGTTCATTGTGACCCGTGAAGACCCATTCTTGCCGTAAAAGGCGACTATGCTTGTCGCAAGAGGCGACAAAGGGGATCGGGTGGTCAGGCTCACTGACTTGGTGGATGCGTCATCGTATCCCAATTGCGTGGATTGATGTCAATCACTGGATTGTCTGGTCCAGGCTCGATTGTTTACAGACCGCCGCCAAATAGCTCGAATATTGCTGAGTGCGGCGTTAAACAACAAATAAACAAACAAGCAAACAGACAACACAGTTCATTGAGGTATGGTTCAATCTGATATCTACAGTTCACAGAGCTATAGTTCACCCTGTTATAGTTCATTGACGTATAGGTTAGTCAAGTATAAAATAGATATAGTTAACCCTGTTACAGACTATTAAGGTATGGTTAAATATGGTACCTACAGTTCACTGAGATATGTATCGTCCTGTTACAGTCCATTGGGGTATGGTTAAATATGGAACCTACAGTTCACTGAGAAATGGATCATCCTGTTACAGTCCATTAAGGTATGGTTAAATATGGTACCTACAGTTCACTCAATCTCAATAAAATCACATCTTAGTTCTCGCTACCGCTAAACAAAGATCTGATTTTAATGAGATTGACAGTTCACTGAGAAATGGATCGTCCTGTTACAGTCCATTGAGATAGTGATCAACATGTGACCCCTCAGTTCATTGAAATGTGGTACCAACAGGTCATAGACAGGCCACCCAATCATGTACCTACAGTTCATCGTGGTATCACTTTCTCTGGTGCATACAGATTATTAAGGTATGCTTGTATATATTTTATCTTAGTGTAGTCCAAACATTGTATGTGACATTGTCTAAGGTTTAGTGAGATACATCCCAGTAAATATGATTTTGACTTTGAAGAAAACACGCTACGACATCAACGCTGACGGCACATGCACCAAGGTTGCCATCACTGACATGTTACTGCCACACTGCATCGTAGGTAGGTGCCTACGTCACAGTCATAACTGCCATATGTCATGACGTTTATATAGGTGCTTATCCATTGTTATCTATTAATATTCTCGGTCGTTGCCGTTTTGGCTTTACTATTTGATCATTGGTATGTGATTCATCTGTAGTGGGGCACAAGACACGAGAGTTTTGAATTTTTAACTTTACCTCAGCTCTTACCTGAGTATTTCTAATTAGACATAAATACGTATTTTATTTGATATTGTTTAAAATAAAAATGATTTTGTGTGATATCATTTAAATAAAATTTGCATAACGAGGTAAAACCTAGTGATTAAAGCGGTCGATTCGCCACATGGGTACAATGTGTGACGCCCATTTCTGGTGTCCCCCTCCCTGACATTACTGAAATATTGCTCAGAGAGGCGTAATACCATACTCATTACAATACACGTTTCAAAAGAGTCCAGTGCCTTGTGCTGGTGATATTCTTCCTTCAACAGTGCTAAATTAAAGGTGGTATAAAGATAGTTTAAAAGGGTCCTATTATTTATCATTAGATGAATATTTATAAGATACAATACTGTCAATGATACAACACATATAATACAAGGGCATTATGGCCAGGTGAAAATGTGTCGATTCGAGCTGTGCAGAGTTATTGCCCTTTGTTGTCGAGATCCACGCAGTATTCGGAAGGATATTACTATACTTACTCAAGAACAGTATATATAGGATGTCGAGGCGCTAGCAGATAAGGTGAATTGGGTTTAACGTCGCGTCCAAGAATATTGCACTTTTATAGCGACGTGCATGCACGTGTTTGTGTGGCTGTTTGTACTGATGCCGATTTATAGTGCTAGCTCACTGAAATACCATGCCACAGTTTTAATATGAATACCCCATTCAGACACAGTATACTGACCAGACGACCACTCCTTGTCTTAGCCCCTTAATGCCGAG